AAACGCACAACAGTAATAACAGAACATAATCATGAATATAAATGGAAACATTGCATTTATATTTATTTTTATGTAAAGATTTCATCTCGTTCACGTTTGTTGACGGCGACTTTCAACCCCTGCCTTTGCACGGGGGGCCCTGCAAAGGCAGGGGTTCCCCTGGAGTATGGGGCCGTTGGTCTAGTGGTCCCCTCGGATAAGGGCCCCCGCCTTTGGGGGCCCCCCATACTATGTGGGCTCCCCCGTGTGCGGTCCCCTCTTTTGGGGCCCCCCATACTATGGGGGGCCCCTTTATTGGTAGAGCCACGAGCTGTGATACTGCGCCTTATAATGCATTGTTTATTGCTGCTGCTGCTGCTGCTGCTGCTGCAACTGCTGCGCTGCTGCAACAGCGCAGCAGGTGAATGGCTACGATTCAGTGCTACTGCTGGCATGGAGTCGATCGGCAACCCTTAACTACAAACCCTAAACCCTAAACCCTAACCCACAAACCATAAACCCTAAACCCTAGCCGGCAAACCCTAAACGCTAAACCCTACCCCGCAAACCCTAAACCCTACAAACTCTCAAAGCTAAATAAACCCCAAATACTCAGATGCAAAGAAAGAAAACTTCATAGCCAAGAGACTGTCTTTCGCTTGCCCTACAGAGGCCAGCAGCAACTGCTGCTGCATCTGCAGCAGTAGCACCAGCAGCAGCTGCTGCTGCAATCGGTTTAAGCGGGTGCTGCAGCAGCAGCAACTACAACAGGCAGCAGCAGCAGCAGCTAGTCGAGATGAATGTGTCTCCGTGTCTCGTAGCAGCAGATGCATGCAGTTGAGGGTGCAGCAGCAGAAGGCTGCCCCCCAGCTAAATATTAATAAATTCAATCTCGTTAGGCTGCTTCCGCTTGCTACCTGTTGCTGCTGCTGCTGTTACTGCTGCTGCTGCTGTTGCTGTTGCTACTGCTGCTGTTCGTGCTGTTGCTGCTACGGCTGCTGGTATTGGAGCTACTGCTACTGTTGCTGCTGCTGTTGCTGTTAGATTCCCTCACTGAAACTGCTCTCGCCCGCACCTTGCTGCTGCTGCTGCTGCTGCAGCAGCTGCTGCTCCTGTTGCTGCTTCTGCTGTGGGCCCCTCATTCTTGGTTTTCTGCTGCGCCGCTGTTTGGGGGGCAGATCCGTTTGAATAAGAATATCGATGACGTACGGATCTGCATGCAACACACACACAGTGCTGATGCTGCTGCTGTTGCTGCTGCGGCTGCTGCAGTTGCTGTTGCTGCTGCGGGTGTTATGATGAGATAGGGGGGAGAGGACAGGTTGGTGTTGCAGCTGTTTGTATCTGCTGCTGATGTGTTGTCTGCCTGGTGTGTGTCTCTATCTTTCTTCTCTCTCTTTTGTTAATTATATTTCTCCTTCTCTTTTATTTGTTTTTATTCCCCCCTTACCTATTATCACTTCGTGCAGCGCATGCAGCCCCATATTACGCACCGTCGCCGCCACTTGTAGGTGCATGCCTGAAGTCGCAACGCAGCAGCAGCAGCAGCAGCAGCAGCAGCAGTAGCAACAGTAGCAGCAGCAGCAGCAGGAGCGGCAGGAGCAGCAGCAGCAGACCCCCAAATAGCTTCAGAAGCAAATAAGATTAGCAAACAGCAGCAGATCGGCTAAGCAGCAGCGATACGCTAACCCCAACAACAGCAGCAACGGCAGCAGCAGCAACAGCAGCAGCAGCAACAGCAGCAGCAGCCACTGCCCTCTCCCACCTGAAGGCTTCCCCGGATAAAACATTAACGTCCTCGTGTTCAGCAGTGCAGCCTGAAACAACAGCAGCAACAACAGCAGCAGCAGCAGCAGCAGCACGGATTGCAGCAGCAACAGCAACGGCAGCAGCAACAGCAACAACAAAGCCACACAAATGTAGGCGCCTCCCAAAGACAGGAGATATGTCTTACAGTACTAACAGCTGCAGCAGCAACAATGGCAGCAGCAGCAGCAACAGCAGCAACAGCAGCAGCAGCAGCCCTAGCAGAAACGGCAGAAGCAACAACAACAACGGCAGCAGCCGCAGCAGCAGCCGTAGCAAAAGCAGCAGCAGCGGCACCAGCAGCAGCCCTAGCAACAGCAGCATCAGCAGCACCAGCCCTAGCAACAACAGCAACAGCAACAGCAACAGCAGCAGCAGCAGCAGCGGATGGTAATCATACAAGGAATTTGTGTCCTTCATCGAGTTGGTTGTAAGGCAAGAAGATATAATCTGGCTGCCGGATAAGTGCTGCTGCAGTGCTGCTGCCCTGCAGCAGCATGCTGCGTCTAGCTATAGGGGCCCCCCCATGAAGCTGGTGCTGGCGTTCGAGTTGCTGCTGCTGCTGCTGCAGTGCATGCGGCAAGAAGTTCCCGTTGCTGTCGTATAGACGATTATATGCATTCCGACTACTGTTGTGCTGCTGTGCTGCTGCTACTTCTGCTGCTGCTGCTGCTGCTGCTGCTGCTGCAGGGTCACCATACACCCCAAACAACGCCATTGCCGATACCTTCAGCATCGTCATCGCCTCCAGCTTCAGGTCTTTCCTCCTGCATGCAGCTTGCAGCAGCTGCTGCCAAACACCCGCTTGCTGCTGCTGCGGCCGCTGCCACTGTTGCTGCTGCTGCTGCTGCTGCTGCTGCTGCGGGGGAAAGCTGCACTCATATACACAGTCTAGCACCACCAGCGAGAAGAGAAGATTCGTCAGGCCTGAATAAACAAACAACTCTCCACTCTGCTGCTGCTCCTGACACGTTAGCTGTAGCAGCAGCAGCAGCACTAGCAGCAACAATACCAACAGCAGCAGCAACAGCAGCAGCAGCAGCAACAGCAGCAGCAACAGCAGCAAAGCTACTTGCCCTGAGTTGTGAGTTCGGGCAGTTGTGCAGACACCCAAGAAGTGATAGCCATGCGGCTGCAGAGACAAACAAAAACACAAAAAAACGAAAATAACTCCAGCAGCAACAGCATATCCTGCTGCGTCTGCTGCTGCAGCAGATGCTGCTGCTGCTGCAGTTGTTGCTGTTGCAGATGCTGCTGCAGCAGCAGTGATACGGCTGCTGTTCTCCCCGCTGCAGCACTCCTCCTGCTGAAGATAGTACCTCTGCTGCAGCAGCTCCTGCTGCAGCATCAGCTGCTGCTACAAGCGTCGCTGCTGGTGCTGGTGCAGCAGCAGCTGCAGCAGCAGCAGCTGCTGCTGCTGCTGCTAGTGAAGTACCTAATCATCTCTGGGTGTCTGAAGCCGAAGCTGCCCATTGCGTGGATAATGTTTGTTGTCGCTTGAGCTGCAAGTGTACATACACCCCACAGTTTTTGTCTTTCAATTTACCCTTGAGAGGGTGCAGGAGATATAGGGTTTAGGGTTTAGGGTTTAGGGTTTACGGGTCTAGGGTTTAGGGTTTAGGGTTTAACTGACCCCCCATAAGGTGAAGAGGCCGCTGCCTCAAGACCTGCCAAAACGCATGCAGAAGCCCGTCGTCCTTACACCGCATATCTGCAGCAGCAGCAGCAACAGCAGCAGCAGCAGCAACACCACCAGCAGCAGCAAGTTTGTGACGCCATCTCATCATGAGGGAAAGCGCCAGCACCAGCAGCAGCAGCAGCAGCAGCAGCAGCAGCAGCAGCAGCAGCAACGACACAAACATCGGCATCAGCACCACCATCAGCAGCAGCAGCAATAGCAGCAGCAGCAACAGCAGCATCACCATCAGCAGCAGCAGAAACGGCAGCAGCAGCAGCAGCAGCAGCATACATGCAAATCCGTTGAGGGTCATGCTTAGATGCTGCCAGTTGAAGTCTTCTGCTGTCTCAATCATTCGGGGGATTAGCTGAGATATATAAAGGGCGTGGCTGCAGCAGCAAAGACACAGAAAAACAACTGCTGCTGCTGCTGCTGCTGCTGCTGCTGTTGCTGTCGTTGTTGTTGCAGCAGCTGCTGTCCGTTGTTTCTTCTGGTGGTGGTGGTGGTGCTGCTGCTGCTGCTGCTGCAGTTGCTGCTGCTGCTCACCCTTGAAGCCTAGCCTTTGCGAATGCATTGACGGCGTTGCTGAGGGACTGGGGGTCAAGGTGTTGCTGCTGCTGCACCAGCAGCAGAATGGCTCGATGAAAGAAAGCATAGATGCTGCTGCTGCTGCGGCGGTCTCCGGGTGTCATCTCAACGCCACGCATGCGAAAGCTGCCTGTACACTCCACCATGCTGCTGAGGCGAGCTCTGCTGCGCTGCCACCGCTGCAGCTCATCTACCTCTGCTGCAGCAGCAGCACCTCCTGCTGCTGCTGCTGTTGTTGCTGCTGCTGCAGCAGGAGTTGCTTGACCCTTCAGCAGCTGCTGATGATGCCGTAAAGCTGATGGTACCAGCTGGTCTGCTGCAGCAGCAGCAGCAGCAGCAGCAACAGCAGCAGCTCCTGCTGCTTCTGCTGATACATCCCGCAGAGACACAAGACCCATATGTGCAAGACGAGAAAACGAATTCAGTGCATTCACAACATTCCTCAGCTCAGACGGCTTCACAGGCGGCAAGCTGGGGGGCCCCCCAGGGGCCCCCCCAGGGGGGCCCCCAAGGGCCCCTCCAGGGGCCCCCCAAGGGGCCCCCCCAGGGGCACCCATCGAAGCTTCAGAGGATACAGACGGCGTTGGGGGCCCCCCCGGGGTCCCTGGGTCCCCCACTGCATCGACAGCTGCGTATGCAGAGGCCCCGGCGAGCAACGTGATTTCTTGCTGCTGCTGCTGCAGCNTGCTGCTGCTGCTGCAGCTGTTGCTTAAGGGAGGCATCGTACGCTTCCTGAGCTGCTAAGATGTGATCATGCAGCAGATCCCTCAGGTGAGCTCGAGAGGTGCTGCTGCTAGCAGCAGCTGCTGCTGCTGCTGGGTCTTGTGGCAGAGCTGAAGACAGGCGGGAGACTATGCTGCACCATAGCTGCGGCAGTGCATGTATGTCTATCTGCTGCTGCTGCTGCTGCTGCTGCTGTTGCTGCTGTTGCTGCTGTTGCTGCTGTAGCTGTTGCTGTTGTTGTGTGCGTTTTTGTGGTTGCAGCTGTTTGTTTTGCTGCCTCTGCTGCTGTTGCAGTTGCTGCTGCTGCTGCTGCTGCTGCTGCTGCTGCTGCTGCAGCACATGAGCATTGAGCTGCAGCAGCCTTGTAATGACATTAAGCTGCAGGGTAAGAAGAGGAAAAGAAAAGAAAGACAGCAAAAAAGGAATACGATGAACCAAACAATTCGCCAGAGACGGAGAAGACAAACCCAACGTCAAGCAATTCAGAGACTGCACACAAACACACAAT